TAGGGAAACTCAAATTATTAAATTACAAATATTGCAGCTGATACTTTTATTTGGATTTAACTATGTTTATTTAAATGCAAGCAAATCTAGTGAACATGCCTATTTTTAGTTTTAAAATTTCCAGCACAACTTTAACCATTGCATCTAAGCTATCTGATATCTTCTGTGAAGGATAAATGACCCCTGATTAGAATGATAGCCCTTTTGTTTGGTAGGTGAGGCAGGGGGTGAGTGACTCTTACTGCATGTTGACCAGTTTAAAGTCAAATGTGGGGACAGGATTGTCCATTGTCTTCTGCCTGCCAAAGGACTAGCACAATTCGGAGAATGAACTTCATCTGCTGATTAACTTGTCATGTTTGCCTTTCCCTTCTTTCTAGGAGGAGAAAGCGTGATGAGGACAGACATGATATCAATAAAATGAAGGGTTATACATTGCTCTCTGAGGGCATTGATGAGATGGTGGGAATCATCTACAAACCCAAAACCAAGGAGACCCGGGAGACCTATGAGGTGCTGCTAAGTTTCATTCAGGCAGCCCTTGGGGACCAGGTAAGGATGGGCACAGACCTGTGAGGGCATCTTTGCTCTATCTGCTTGTGAGATGAAGGCACATCAGCTGATTGGAGTTGTCAGAACTCCCAGAGTGTGTGCGAGGCAAATAGCTGGCAGAGCTGCAGCTCAGATGATTGAGTAAGAGAGCCTTTGGATCCTCATGGCTAATCCTTCTCTTGCAAGCTGGTGACATTTATAACAAGTTGTGTGTGCTAACCCTCTTCATCTAGTCATGTCTCCTGAGATGGGGGTCTAAGCTCTGAGCAGGGTAGTAGCTGTTGCTGTTTCTCTGGTTGTCACACAGTGCTGCAGTGTCTTAAAGGGGAATGCTTCCAGCTGGGCTGATTTTTCCATGGAGATAATTTATTGCAGATAGCAAGCTGGATGCAGTTAGTCCATAAATGTGAGCCAGTACAGGCAGTCCCTGCCTTATGCGGATCTCACTTATGTTGGATCCGCACTTACAAACGGGGCTTTTCTCGCCCCGGAGCTCACGGGCGGCGGGTCGCCACCAGTGTCCTCCAGGGCGAGAAAAGCTTCTCCCGGTCTCCCTGGTCTGCTGGGGGGGTCCAGCAAAGCCGCTGGCCCCCCCAGCAGACTAGGGACACCCGAGCAAAGCTGCCCAGGTGGCAGGAGTCCCGCTCATTTGCC